GTTCTTAAGTACCACTTACGATCTGTGCATAAGATTTTAAAACTCATACCTGCAAATTCAGAATCTTAATGTGTAAGGCCAAAGGGACCTGGAGAACAGACACCTTGGAGCTTCAAGGAGAGATCCAATGCTATGGAGAATTTAGTGTAGTCCAGGAAGACATCTGAGTGTGCCAGGCTCCTCTGTAAAAACTCCTCCTGGAAGTTTTGGCAAATGATTCGGCATACAGAATTAATGACAATAAGGTAGCAATGGGTTGCTCAGTACGTCACCCTAGCACTGTGCCACCAATACAACTCTGAGGACGACTTTTCTTTCATGAATAAGACAAAATGCCCAACACAAATATGTAAGGGAAACAGGTTTATTTAACTCACAATTTGCACAGGTTTCAGTCCATAACTGACCGATTTCCAGGCAGCGTGGCATGGCAGAGAGGCACTGCAGAGGAAAACGGTTCATGTCAGGGAGAAAGCAGCAAAACTGGACAAGGGTAAACCATGGCACTTTCTATCCCTTGTATTTTTCCAGGTTACACAGAACAGGAATCACTCTCACCCTTAATCCGAAAGCCTTTCATATTAGAATTGCACCATGAAATAATCTCAGTGTCACGCATTCTAAATCCACGCTCCTCTGAAAAAGCCACATTTAAGACTGCACGAGGCTTTGGAAGAACATTTAGACACATATAATGACAACAATGTTCTCAGTTTTGTGCAATACCTAATTTCAAACGGAGCACACTTTGAAGCCCAGCCTGAAATTGTCTAGGCTGCCTGCGCTTTTCACATATATGCATTATGTTGTTCTTAATTTTTTAGTTGGGAACAGAAACCCAATAGAAGAGGGGTTTCTATTCCTGGTCTGTCAAACCAATGCAAGATAATAGACCATACACCACAATAGTTACCAAGCAAAAGTTAGAGATACAAAGGTTTCTTTAACATCAATTTTACAATCATACACTGGACGTTTCGGTAAATGATTCAGCACATTTCTTACCTATCACAAAATATACATCTGCCCCATGCTCCATAGATGTGGTGAGAATGTTCACAGCATGAGATCCTGAGAAAAATGAGAATAGAAAGAACCCATCGCTCTAGAAATACAAAGTATAACCTTTGGGCCCTGTTTAAACATAATGCTATAGAAAGGAAAATAAACTTTACAATGTGAGGAAAATTTCACATTTACAATACACCCAATGACTGGTTTTGAGCAAAAAAAATATAGAGAACGAAAAGGAATAATAAAGTATCACCCACTCACAAAAAAATGAAGTTTATGTAAAACATTTTGAACATCTTAGGCATTGGATACACTAACAAAAGGTTTTAAATCCGCCCACTTTAAAATGCTCAAAACACTGAAGTGAACTCACAAATAACTAAATGAAACCAGACACGATATATAAAAAAGTAAAGAATACTCATAAAATCAAAAATATTTATTTCTGGAGCTTAAAGTCATGATAGTTGAAATGAAAAGTTCACTAACAAAGTACAACTATCTGAACAAAGACAAGAAAAGAACTAGTCAATTTTTCATAAAAATGAAATAACTCAGTGTGAGAAATGAAAGAAATAAAGAAATATGAACAAAGCCTAAGGGTCCTATAGAACATATTCAATATCATATATTTTTTATCTTATTATATATATCAGATATATATAAAGAGAGAGACAATGGAAGTTCAAGATACTTAAGAAAGAAAGATAATTTCAAAATCAAAAACATTTCCAATAAACGATGGCCCGAAACTTCTCAAATATGATGAAGTATAAGAATACACAAACCCAATATGCTCAAAATTTCTAAGCAGGTTAAACTCAAAACTCAAAAGGGCACTTACTACAAGGAAGCTGTTACAACACAAAGAGAAAACCTTCCAAACAGCAAAACAGAAGTGACTCATCCCAGAAAATGGTTCTCAATGAGACTAACAGTTGATTTCACATCAGAAACCTTAAGGGCCAAAGGCACTGGGACCATCTCCTTACAGTGCAGAAAGAAAGTCCTGTTGCGCAGGATATATAGCTTAGTGGCACAGTGCCTGCCTGGCAAGGGCAGGGTATAAATTCAATCCTCAGTACCAAGAAAAAAGAAAAAGAAACCTGTCAACCAAGGATTCTACATCTAGAGAATCTAGTCTTCATCACTCCGCATTAAGTGAGGGGTGGTGGTAGATGCCTGCAGTCCCAAGACTCTGGAAGGCTGCTGCAGGAAACTAAGATCTAACCAAAGCAATTTAATGAAGTCTTTTCCCAAAATAAAAGCTAAAGAGAAAGGTAGGATGTAGCTGACTCTAAAGATCCTGAGTTCAACCTCAAGTACCACCAGTAACAATCAAACAAACAAACAAAAAAAGAATATATCCCAAATTTTTAAATGTGCCAGCCTATAAGGAATGCCAAGGCAGTTAGGAGAACACTGATGAGTGAAAAACACATGACATAAAAAACAAGTAGCACAATGTCATAAAAAAACCCTTCATTATAAGTAATCCTTTTAAATGTAAATAGTTTAAACTTTCCAAAGATTTAAAGAATGATTTTAGAAACATGATCCAACCATGCAATATTCAAAATAGAGAAGTGCATAGAGAAAAAAGATTAGCAGTGCAGTGAGCAGGATGATGAGAAAAAGGTTAATGGGGAGCAATCATTTAATATTTATACAACGTTTTGAGGTGCTAGAAATATTTTGACCATCCAAATGAACATTTTGAATGCCATAAATTCTACTGAATTATATGCTTGAAAATAGTTACACATGTAACATGTTAACTTCCCCTCAGTTTTAAAAGTGAGTCATAAATGTGTTTAGCATCATCCCTTGTTAAATTCTTCAATGCAAATATTACACAAAAAATGTGTTAGATCATACTTCAAAACGTTAAAGCTATGTATTAATGAGTGAAGAAAATCAGGTAATATTAATTGTTTATGCCACTGAGCTAAGATCTGGAAGAGTTTAATTATTTACACTGTATGTTGCTTTTATAGTTTACAACTTTAGAAATTTATTGCATATTAAATTTTTAATAACACTATGAAACAATTATTAAGGTAATACTGAGTAAGTGGATATTTTAAATGTGGTTAAAACATTTAAATTGTAAGATTAATTAAGACTGAATACAATAGGAATTACATTACATTGTTTCTACAGCATTGCACTGAGTTAATATGCTCACCACATAAGTTTAATGGGCTGTATATAAGACTATGGAAATCAGTACAGTGATTCCTCAGAAAACTAAAAGTAAACTTCTATTCAGCCCAGTTTTCTCCCTTTTAAAGATAGCAGTTTCCCTATTTTCCTAAACGAGTGAGAAACGTTATTACAGTAATATACTCATATCCATGTTCATAGTAGCAAAACTCATAGCAGCTATAACTTAGAAGCACACTGTTTGTCCAGCAATAGATGCATTTTTAAAAATGTGGCATTGTACATAATGGAGTACTACTCTTCTATAAGCAGGACAAACCTGAGTCATTTGTAGAAAATGGTTGTAATTATTACCACAATGTTAAGTAAAATAAACAATCAACACAACATTAATTATCACATGGTTTCTCTATTATAAGAAACCTAAAGTATAAGTGAATTAAAGGGCCAAATAAAAGATACATAACAAGAAACAGTGATAGATTTTTTTCAAAGAAGAAGAGGACTAAGATTTGTAAGGAGGGGAAAGAGAAGATACAAGAAGAGAACAAGAAGAAATAAGATGCATTACATACAAAATTCCCACAATAAGTATAATGATTATGTAACACAAATATTTATAAGAAAATTTTCAATTGTCTGGGGGAGATATACAAATGCATGCTATTTTTCCTTCCAGCTCTCTGAATTCTCTTAATGAATATGCATTTTAATTACAGGCAGAAAACAAATTTTGCCTTTTAATTATTTACTACTTGGAAAGTTCAGTTAAAAACAAACTCAGCTTTGATAAATGTTGATGGCCCTCTATTGAAAAGGAAGATACACCGGAATGTTTTCTTCTCAAGTGTAATACTCCTCATAGAAAAACATGTAAAACATGAACAGGAAGCTTAAGTCATCAAATCAAATTGTTCAGACCTACAGTTGGCCCTTGAGCAACAGGGTTGCAGTGGATTCAGGCAGGCAGTCTTCAAAACAGGAACACTATGGCAGAAGGATTTCATGGGGCAAGCAACTCTCAATTCCTATAGAATGGGAAGAAGAGAAAAGAAAAAGAGCCCTAAAAACAAGGGATCACTATTCTGATATAATCCCCCCAAAAAACCACAATATTTAGTTCAGGTGGTTTTACTGGGATCCACAAGCACAACCAAAGCAATGGGAGTAACCTACATCAAGATATAGATTGAATTGCAAAGACCCACAGCAATTTGCTAATTTAGACCAAAAACTCCAAGTGCAGACATGTTGTGTAAAAATATTGAGAAGAGATTCCTACTCCATCTAACTCAATGTTTATAATTAAATAAGGGATGTTTAGGATTCTCTTAGAAGGTGGCTATGATGATGTCAGAGTCACCAGATAGACTGAGCGGATGCTGGCCAAGCCTTGTTATTCCTAAGTATATTGCTCCACTGTGGCCTTCCTGAAGTTTGGTTCCTGGGTTTCTGTCTCTTTCATCAGATGATCAGCTCACTCTCCAGCTTGCTTGCTCCTTGCACAAGAGATGGTCCTAATACTCAAATGCTTCTACAACTACCCTGATGAAACCTGGCATTGATAATTGTGTCACTGGGAACCCATGTTTATGAGAATTTCCTGGCCAATACCACATCCTGCAGACCCACCTTGCACACCTGGGTTTCTGATGAGGACAGGAACACATGATTTGATCTGACTCATCAGCTGTCGTCATTATACGGGTCTCACACACTTAAAAGGTGTCATGATGAGAGGAGGCAATGGCTGTAGTGTGTTGTTTTGGAAAGGCTCTCAGGGTAAAGCACCACAAAACCAGTGACAAACATGAGGTCACTGAGCCAACTCCTCCCCTTTCCTCTGCTGGGGGCTAAAAGACAACATGGACAAATCTTCAGCAGCTCTGACTTGGAGACGCTTCTTGCTTCTTGGGTAGATGAAGCTGCTCCTGCTCCTGTTGGCCTTCTTTCTGCTCCCCAGAGCAGAGGCAGGTGAGTGACCATCTCCACCCTCCGGAGGCCCAATCTTATTGCACAGAGCATATGAATCTCCTGTCCCTATGCAACACCCCCATAGCCTTTTGTCTGCCAGCATTGCTCTGAACCTGAACTCCAATCCTACCCGAGGGAATCTGGTAGGACACTGCATAAGCTACCAGAGTTTGTTTTCAAGAAGAGCCAGTGGATAATGTACCCTCAGTAAGGCTCAGCTTGCACATCTAGAGAGGCTTTCTTCAAGGTTCATGCAGGTGAGAAGTACAAAGAAGAAAATAGCAAGTACTCCTAAACAGGGCAGAATAGACCAGTCATCCCGGTCAGGGGAGGGCAAAGGCTTTGTGTTCATAACTGCCTAGCAGAGATGCCCAGAGCTCCCCACAGTGGGTGGATTCTCTCTCCTCAGAAAACTGTTTTTGCCTCTCCTCACTCCTACTAACTTTCTCCAGCTCTTCTTTCCTCCTCCGGATTTAAGTGGCTTCTCTGTTTTTCAGTAGGAGCCACAGAGGCAGACTCACACTTCTCTGCTTTCCAGAATTCCATCTGCACTGCTCCACTAACCATACACTAACTGTAGCTGTTCCTTCATGCTGCCAGGGAACAGATCTGAGACACCCTCTACATGTCGGGCCTTAAAAAGAGGTTAAGACCTCACCTACAGTACACCTAGAGCCTGCCAGGATGAAGCATCATCATCCTAGACATCACAGGACTCAGAAGGATTTTATTTACTCAAGGGAAGTAAAAAGTTAGCAGAGGAATGATGAAAAGACTTAGAGGTTTTATTTTCCCCTGATACATATAGTCATCTCGAATCAAACAGAGGAAAAGGACAAGTAGAACAAGACTCAATTTCCTGCACTTTGGAAAACAAGTTCAGGCATCTTCCTCTAGGTTCCTGTCCATTTCAATAAATTGCAGGCTCCCAAATGTCCAACTGTTCAGAGATTGTAAGATACTTGTTCAAGGACTCAGTGGCTGCACCCAGTCTTCTCCTTGTTTCCAGGAGAGATCATCGGAGGACATGAAGCCAAACCCCACTCCCACCCCTACATGGCTTACCTTAGGATCAGGCATGAGAAATCTAGAAAAATTTGTGGTGGCTTCCTGATTCAAGAGGACTTTGTGCTGACAGCTGCTCACTGTTTACAGGGGTGAGAAAAGAAAAAGAGTCTACAGTCTATAGAAACACGGCTCAGTGCCATTTTTCTCGGGAGCTCGATAATTTCATGGACATAAACCTGAGGAGGACTGGTGAGAGTGAGAAAGGCCCCTCATATCCCAAGGGGAGAGAAGCAAGGTGGCACCAAAGAATTCCTGATATAAGGAAAACCAAGGCAATCAAACCTGATTACATGTAGACTCAGGACCATACTTTGGCATAAGCAAGCAAAGTAAAGCAGTTTCATGTCCTTTCCTGGAGTCACTGACCACTGAGAACCTCTGGTGCTCAAGGTGCCCTCCCTCGGTACTAAGAAGGAGGGACAGTCATTCAGCTGGGTAGCCCTCTGTCCTCTACAATTATATCTGTTTCAGCTGTGGCCTGCTTTTACAGATCCTGGGTAGTGTCTTTTGTAGCTCTCCATCCACCAATCCACTTGCCTCTGTGTACAGCCCAATAGAGGTCACCTTGGGGGCCCACAACATCAAGGAACAAGAGAACACCCAGCAGGTCTTCCGTGTACAAAATGCATTTCCTCACCAAGACTATAATCGGAAAAAACGCATCAATGACATCATGCTGCTGAAGGTAAGTGCATGTCCTTGTCACTCTTGCTCTCCTCAAGAATGGTTGCCACTTCCACTGTCACCCTGCCCCTGCCCTCTTTGCCATCATGTCCATCACACTGTGCATACCCAGGAGCATACACTGAACTGGACTTCCTTACTTTTTTTCCACCAGCTGGAGAAAAAGGCCAAGCTGACAAAAGCTGTGCAGCTCCTCAAGCTGCCCAAGGGGATGACCCAGGTGAAGCCAGGTACCAGGTGCCAGGTGGCTGGATGGGGACGATTGTCCCCAGGGGGAAGACGTTCAAGAACACTGCAGGAAGTGGAGATGGTAGTGCAGAAGGACGAGAAGTGTGAGGAACTCTTTCCAAAGTATTATGATCCTGCTACTGAGATTTGTGTGGGAGACCCAAAGATTAACAATACTTCGTTTAAGGTAAGAGGAGGCATCTGTCACAATTGGCTTTGTGGGAAAGAGTGTTTGGGACAGATCAAGTACCAGGAGACCCAAGCATCATGGATTCCTTCAGCCCATATGCTTTTATGTTTCTCCCAGAAAAGAGAAGAAGGGAGAAGCCTGAGCTGGGAGGTACTAAAGCATAAAGCCCCTACCAATTTACTAAGAGTCCTCTGGAGATGGAAACACCACTGGAAGCTTCAGTTTGTAACACATTGCCTGAGCTCATGGCACAGGCATGAGAAAACTGTTTCCTTGGTGTGCAGGAATTATAACCTCCTCTGAGTCGGCAGCCCTTGTGGTCAATGAGCTCATCATCTGTGCTCATTGTTGGACCTTGTCATCAGCCTCCCTGGCCTGTATTGAATGGTCCTCACAACTCTACAGGGGTGAGGTCCAGACCTGGGGATGAAGACAAAGGCTGGCTCCAAGAGTGAAAATGTCTATAGTCAGAGCTCAGCAGCTAACAGCCTGTAGTTCCCTCTAATCTCTCACAAGCACACCTTACAATCAGTACAACATGAGACAATTTGGGATAAAGGAAGTGAGAAATTATGTGGTGCCATGGTTCACAGACTCACTAACTATTTACAGGGTGACTCCGGAGGCCCCCTGATGTGTAATAATGTTGCACTGGCCTTTGTTTCCTATGCACCAAAGAATGGAACAACACCATGTATCTTTACCAAAGTCTCATGGTTTCTACCCTGGATAAAGAAAACTATGAAACAGAGCTGACTGCACACAGTACAGTAAATCCCCTCTATCATCAACTATCTTACCTGGAGCTGAGTCTACAATCACACTAGAGCAGACACCAGCAACTAAATAAATGTTTCATCTCAGGGCAAGTCTAGTTTCTTGTTTGCTCACTTACTTTGGTTCATGGGGACCAACTCTGTGGGAAGCAGGACAGTGACACAGTTCTGATGATTTCTGCCTCCTCCACTCCTTCTCCACTCAATACCTTTCCAAATCCCCTCTCAAAACTGTTACCAAGCTCCGCCTTATACATTTTAGCTACTCCACAGCCTCTCTTTTTGCAAGGGCTACGGTTAAGCACCAACTGAAGAAAAAAGTGGACATCTTTCTTTCTAGGGCTCCAGGGGAACATGTGAGTTCTTTTGTCACATGTAGGGGGGAAGGGGATGATTTCCTGGGTCCTGGAGTTCAGCCAGGCACCACTGAGGTCACAACAGGACCCCATCAGGCTCTGTAGAGGAAGGGTATACCTGAGCAGGACATTTCTCTCCCACAGCTTTAGGGATGCATATGGAGTGCCAGGTAACCTGACTGACTCTTTACCTTCACCTGAAATTTGTTTCCTTCTCCATTCTGCTCTAAGACCAAGGCTAACCTTGGCTTACAGCCACCTGGCTGCCCAATTTTATCCCTCTGAGAGTTGTCACTGTCTACCAACTACTCTCCTTATGAGGCCACACTGATTTGATATTGTAACCTCTTCAAATCTCCCAATCCAGGACCAAAACCTGTCTCTCTTCACAAGTTAATGAAACCTTGGTTCAGATCTGGGTGGTGGCCTTTATTCTGCTTAGCTATTTTTCTGACTGAACCCAGGAACCCCTTGGTTCCCCACAACTAAAGATACTGGTTTATCTCTTTATTCATGACATGAATTTCACTGGATTTGGTAGATTGAAATTTATTCATTAGAATTCCCATAACTTTTCCTGGATTTACCAATATAATCTCCTCCTTATTGTGACAATACTGGAACACTTTCTGTATTAGTGTGTGCAAAGTGCTAAGCCAGAGGCTGGGGGTTAGCTCACCTGCCAAGGCACCTTCCAGGCAAACACAAGGTACTGAGCTCAGTCCTAGGTGAAAAACAAAAAATAGTGCCAGGTCTTAGGTTCTATAATGAACATAATCATAGATCCCATTGAAGCTGGAATGGTCACAGACTTTCCAAATTAACTCCCTCTCCGTCCTCCAGTTTGCCCAATGAAGCCTGCGTGGAAAACCTGTGAAATAAAACATCTTATTTGTATTTCTGCTTACAGTTTCTATCAACATTATCACATGATACATCAAAACTGTATGAGATTTAAAAATGACCTTAGTCACACACTTTTCAGATATGAAGTTGCTAAACGATTCAAAAGAGGGCCCACAGGTGATAAGATAATGAAGCAGGCTTATTTTCATTTGTTTGAAAAGAAATAGATTTAAATGTTATCATACAGAATCCAATTACAGTAAACACACATACTCAGTCAACCTGCTGGGAAACATAATCCCTGTCAGCACTACAGTGCCCTCCTTGAAAAATCAAACTTGAGTCTGTGAGGCCAACACAGAAGAAAATGGGGAGATATCTATAATATTTAAGTCATCATGGTTACTGATACATCCATGATATCTAATATTATCCAAGCTTCTCTTTGTTGAGAAGTTCATAGCTTAGAGAAAACAAAGTGCATGGCATTTTGTTGAACAAATGTCCTGTGGGTGCTTTGTTTACCTTGCTGAACATTCCCTCCACCTTGGGCTGCAGGGTCAGGTCACTAATATCCACACTGCCTGGCAGAATTTGGCTCAATCTTAATGCCTCTATGTCTCAAATACACAAAATACTACATTCTTTTGTGCCATAGAGTTAAATCTCACTCTGAGGTCATGTAATTCTCAAAGGCATGCCTTCTCCCATCTGTTTACAAAGCATGCTACGTCACAGTCTCATAATTAATTGTCTTGTGTAGCTTTACAAGGAAAATTCAGCTTCTGACTGGAGCCTGAAAATCAAAATTCCTGCACCTAACACCTACTGAAAATCTGGCTCCTTCCTCAGGAAAAAAAAAAGCAAATCAATAAAACAAAAAACCAAAAAATAATATTTAGTAAGTTTTCCAGTCATATACACGAATACTCCCGGGTTCTATTTACTTTGGGCAAATGGGTTTGTAGTTTAAAACTCCTTTGAAAAGTATTCCTGTAGATTGGTCCCAATCCTACTCTAAAAAAATAAAAAGAAACAGATTCCCAAGAAAAGATAATGAGGACCAAAATTAATGCAGAAGTTAGGAGAAAGCTTGGACTGAGCCAAATTCCCTAACCATCAGCCTACCAGCAGCCCTGGTCTTGTAACTGTAAGTCCATATTTTGGCTCCATCTCCACAATCTTGAAATTTTCTGGTCTATTGGTCTTTTCCTGAATAACAAGGCAGCTGTCATCTGCTTATGTGGGCCATGATGATAGGTAGATGATTGATCCTGATGTTTAAGGGAATATGGGATTCCCTGAATTGACCCTTAGTGACAGCGAATGAAAGTCAATGGAAGGCCATCACAGGGGTATGCTGACTGCACCAGGTTACCTTACTAGGACAGCTGAGTTGAGATCTACCAATTTGTGACTTTTATTATCTACAGGGAGAGGTAATGGAAGTTTGCATATGGACATACAGGAGAACTGTTACCTCCGTTCTACTTGACATACTAACTAAGGTTTCTCATCCTCTTTCATCTACACATCTAATTAGTAATAGGTATCTCCAACATTGGAATTTTATATAATGTATCTACAGTCGCTGGTATATCCTCTAAAGCACAGTAAGAAATGAATGTACATAAATTCCCATTCCTTTCACCAAATACTATTTTTCCCATGCCAGAATTTACTCAGTCAAATGATACTTAAATATTATTTCAAAATTCTTTTCTTGAAGATATTTATGGTATTCTAAGAGTTGTTATGATATATATATATATATATATATATATATATATATATATACACACACACACACAAAATTTGGAATGATTAAGGCTGATCCACACAACCAATAGCTTAATAATTATTATTTTTCATACTCAGAGCATCTGAAATTTGCACTTAGCAATTCTAAAATATGCACTACTAAGTAAGACCAGTGTGATGTATACACACTACTAAGTATGACCAGTGTGATGTACAAATAGATATCAAAAATCTTATTTCTCTTGTCTAGCTAAATCTTTGTGCCCTCTGAGCAACATCTCCAAATGCTCCTAAATCCCTAGACTGTGACAACTACTATTGTGCTCTATGTCTACAACTACAATGGTTTTCAATTCCCCATGTAAGTAACGACTTATATTGTTCTTCTGTGCTTGGCTGTTTGTGCTTGACATAATAGTCCCCTGGTATATCCAGGCTGTTGCAAATGACAGGATCTTTTTTTTAAATATAGTTTGGATTATATATATATATATACATATATATATATATATATATATATATATATTACTAAAATATACATATCACATTTTCTTTATTCAATCATTGATAGACACAAGTTGTGACTAGACTTTTATGAATAATGTAGCAATGAAATTGGAAATTCAGGTAACTTCTTAGCACACTGATCTCTAGTCCTTTGGAGAAACACTAGCATAGGATTCCTGGGCAGAGTATTAGTGCCAATGACAGTCCGATCTATTTAGGTGCAAAGCATGGAGCATGCTCTCCTCTCCTAGCAGTACATCCTCTTGGAGGCAGGGACCATTGGGCTCAGCCAGAAGCTTCAGATTGACTGAGATTCTGTTCTTCCACCTTTCACTGTCCACAATCTCAAGGGTTCCATGAGATTCCTAGTGGACTTATTTCTATATTATTCTTCCTAGGTCACTTTTGGATACTGGCTTATTTTCTACCCTATCCATAGAGGACAAAGAAGGCAGGATATGTCTAAAGAAAGCTGGGCCAGAGCATTACACTAAGCAGGGCACTGTCAGTTCTCAGAAAGACAGATCTTGCACCTAAGCTCAGAGCCCACCTTCTGAGAGGACACTCAGCACCCTGATTTCTTTCAGTCTGTCCTTTTTGGTCAAGGCTAAGGGCACGGTCTCTGAGTTGGAACTCCATGATTGATTACCAGTCTGTAATGACCACTTAAGTGAGACTGACAACATCTACAACAGGACTAGAAATCACCATTCCCTCTTCCACTTATACATAGATTATTTTCAGGTAATAC